GTCTTGAGGGAATAGGGCAATCCAACACCTTCCATGTACACACACACAAGAAAATGTTGACGTAGAGTTAGTTTACACTGAGGAAAGGTTCTAGAACAGCTTCTTGGAGGCTCGCTCTTGGAAATTTTTTAATTTTTCAGGCAAACCAATTACACTTCCCAGAAATATTGGATAGGTGAAAGTCAATCTGTGAACACTGAATGAGGACATTCTTCTTCAAACAAAACATTTAATGAAGTACCACATGGCTTTAGATTTCCCCTTGCCCATGTTAGGGACTTATGCACGCTGTTAAACAGAAAATGTTGTCCTTATCTTTCTCCTGATCTTACTACCGTACCAGGCTTATTTAAAAGAACAGCAGACAAAAGCAACAAACACATTGAGGAAATTTCTAAAGGTGAAGGGAACATATGATGTGCTTGAAGCTAGCAGTTAGTTGGTGAATATCCTAAGTGATAGATGGCAAGCTTGCCTATGCCAAAGTTTTCTCATCTTTAGTTCCAATTTACGAGTCTTCAGATTACTATGACTTGTTATATCAGCCTTTGTAACTACAGAAATTATTATTTCTTTAAGGCAGTCCACATTACAGTGAAATATGATCCTTAATTGCCACCATGTACTGAACAAAGACTACAGACAGCTGGACTAAATAATGTTGAACTATTTTTATTGCTTGAACTTTGAATTATTTTACTTTTGATACTCTCATTTCATGGAAACTCCTATTAGGGAGAATATTTAGTTTCTGAGTATATCCTCCTGCAAGCTATCACAATAGTCTGCCTGGCACAGGGTCTCTCCTTGGAAATTTTAAATGATCATATCATAACTATCCTTTGTAGAGTAAATGGTTTCATCATAGAATAACGAAAACATGAAGAAGTATAAGGAGTCATTCAACTAATCTGACATTGTGGTTTTTGAACTGTATACTGAGACCAAACAAGTCCATTATGATAGTGACAGAAAGTGGTGTCAGTGTCTAAGATTTTGATTAACTTTTCAAAATCGAAAGGCTTACCAAAAGGAAGTTGTTAGATTTAATTAAATTTTCCCTAAAGCTGTCTATATATGTAGCAAATTTTATTTTAACTTAATATGTAAATATTAATACACTGCAATCTATTTTGAGAATAGAGCAGCCCTCCCTAATCCCATCTTTATTTTCAGTTTCAGTTAGCTGCAAGTCCAAAAATAATAAATTTCAAATTCTAAGAATGAGCAACCCATGATTTTTAATTCTGTATATTGCTTCTATTTTTCTATTTTATTTATAATTATTAATCTCTTACTATGTCCAATTTATAAATTAAACTTTATTGCAGATATATTGTATTATTGGTTAATATTAATTACCAACTTGATTGGACTGTGAGATATCTTGGAGGTTAGTAAAGCACACCTCTGATTTGTCTGTAAGATTGTTTTCATAGACAATTATATCATGAAGGCTCTGACCTAATCAATGACTTCAAAGATTCAATTTTTGAATAGAAGATTGGATTGTGAAGTTGAGGAATGGTAGAAAATGGGGCTTAGTTGGAGGAAGCAGGTCACTGAAGATGTCCCTTTAGAAGAAATATCTTGGCCCTGGTCTCTCTCTCTTTCTTTTTCTCTTTCTCTTTCTCGCTTTCTCTTTCTCTCATTCTTTCTCTTTCTTGGGCACTGTGAGGTACGCACTCTCTGCCAGATGCTCCCACTGCCATAATATTCTGCTTTAGTTCAGGCCCAAAACATTGAATTCAGCCAACCATGGACTGACACTTCTGAAACCATGAGCCAAAATAAATCTTCCCCTCCTTCTTTTCCCCTCAGGTTCTTGCTAAAGTGATCACAAATGTGATTAACGTATATATGTAGTTTTGAAAAGACAAAGTATATATGAGTTTTGGTACTATACATTGTTTCAGTCCTCCACTGGGGGCTTCAAGAATTCCTTAAAGATAAGGACAGACAACAGTAACAATTGCATTCTTGTAACTGTAGTGGGAGTTTGTGTCAATAGTACCAGCTGAACTTCAGCCAACCACAGGCTACAAGCTGCTCAGATCATGCCTAAATAGCACAAACAGCAAGCTGTAGCCAATCAGGCTAGATATTTTTACAGGGTCTCATTGTCTAGCCCTTACTAGCCTAGAACTTACTACATAGACCAGGATGGTCTTAAACTCACAGAGATCCAACTCCAGAGTGCTAGAATTCAATCAGGTTAATTTTACACATCCCTTCCATGTACAGTTTATAAATATTGCCTGTCCATATGGTAGGACACAGCTCTCTGAACCTCTACTGATTCCAAGGGCTTCATGATTCTGAGGGCTGCCCAATTCACAAATTGTTCTTCAATCAAAGAAACTGTCTTAAATTTAACTTACCTAATGTTTTATTTTAACAGTTTTAAGGACAATTATAACTACTAAAATTCATATCAGAATGTACAGTTTGAACTTTTCAAGAATTCTTAATGTTATGAATAGGATTAGGGATCTTTAAAATTTCAACAAAATGCTAATAAAACTAAAATGTCAAGATGCAGATGTTAGTCAAAGATAATGGTTCCCACACATTGTTCAATAAATATATGAGTCAATAGAAGAAATAGTGGTAATTTGACCTAGAGTAGGAATTGACAAATTACCTAACCTTGCCTCCTGTCTCCTTCTGTAAATAAACTTTTACTAGAATCCCTAAACATATACTCATATGTGTATTTTCTAGGATCTGTGGCTGCTTTTGTTCAACAAAGTAGAATTTAGTTGCAGACAGATTGGATATGTCTCAAAAATCTGAAAATATTTACTATCTGACTCTATAGAAAAAGAATTCCAATCCCTGTCTCGGACTATAACCAGTGAAGTCAGGGACCAACGAATGAGCATATTATATTTTGGAAGCTAAACAAGAACAAGCTTGGTGTGTTCTAGGATATTTGTTCAGCAGAAACTCCATTTCAAATATTGAATACTGATGTTTTCTCAGGCTAGGGATATATGATATGCTAGTCTCTGATGATGAAATAGGAAGTTGAAGTTCAGAAAACTAAAGGCCTTGTCCCTAAAATTTCAGATGTGCTCCACAAAGTAACACTCAGGGCATATACTTTCCGTTCCCCCTCTGTTCTGGCTTGCTGTTTATGCCTTACATTAAGATCACTGTTTCTGGTGCCATCACCCACCAAAGGCCACTGCTAAGGCTTAGGTCTACAGCAGTAATGCTTGGATCCAGCATATTGTTTCTTGAAGCTCTCAGTATGGTTTGTTATGGTTGTCAAGTATCTAGGTCCAATGAACATATTTTGTTGAAAATATTCTTTTTAGCTTTTACTTGTGTTTTTATTGTAGTTGCAACTATAGAATCTGGGGCAAGTATATTTACTTAGGTTTGAATCTCAGCTTAGAAACTTAACCACCATGTGATACTGGTGAAATTGTTTAACCCATCTATGCCTCAGTTGGATTACCCTTAAAGTATGAATAATATAATCTGCCTTAAATGTGTATTATGAAACACTAAGGTCAATGTTTGGCATATAGTATAGGTTTCATAAATGTTCTTTACTATTACAAAGGGAACTTATTTTTCTGACTCCTAGACTTTGGATATCAACTTCTTGCCTATTACTGATGACTTTGTGTCTGTCAATTTCATCTTACTTTTAGGAATGTCACTCAGTCTAGTTGCTTCTGTCATTCTCCTTCCTATTGCTGGACTTTGGATTCTGCTGTTCTTCTGCATGGAATGTTCTTTTTCCCATTTGCCTGACTAACACTGATTTTGTTCTTTAAGCATAATATTATAAGAACATGGAGTATATCCTGGTTTGGTTTATCGTTTTATATACTGAGATTAGTGTAATGTCTGACATATAGTGGAGAAAATATTTGTTGCATAAATATTCAGTTATTATCCTTAGCACAATTAGTTATTTGGGCATAATCTTTGGTGTATATATTCAGTGGTTTTAGGCATTTCTAACAACTAACCATTAAATAATACATCTTATGCTTGGAAATCAAATTTGAAAGACACAAACTTTATGGTTTCAAGAAACTGTTTTTGTCATTGCAGAACAGACACATGCAAAAAGAGAAATTACAATCCAGAATCAGTGATATATGAGGCCTGTGGAACCAATGGAAAACAATATGATAGTGAAGGGATCGCAGAGTAAATAATAAGTAATTTGAGTAAAAAATAATGATTAGCAATTTTCCAAATAATTATCAACACAAAGAATTCCAGAGTAAAACCATGGAAGAGCATTAAAAGCTTCCTTCAGAGTGAAAGCTTTTTCCTTCTGCTGATCTTCAATCCAACAAGCTATTTCCTTTTGCGGCTTTAATGCAGATTATCTCACTATCCACTTATTTTATTATGCATTGTTCTTAACTTTTCATCTCCACAAGGTGTTTGTTCCTAATGGTTTATATCCCTTCTAATGCTCACTCACTGTATTAGCACTGTCCTGGACATTTGATTCATGATGCTCAACTGAATCAATGGAAATCCAGTAATGATTGTGTGCCATGAGTATGCTTAAAAACAAAGCAAAACGCTGGGCGTGGTGGCACACGCCTTTAATCCCAGCACTCTCTGTGAGTTCAAGGCCAGCCTGGTCTACATAGTGAATTCCAGGACAAGCTGTGGCTACAGGGAGACCCTGTCTTAAAAAGACCAAAAAAACAAAACAAAACAAAACAAAACAAAACAAAACAAACAAACTGGTGGAAGGGTAATGGAAGAATTTTAGTTCTAGAAAAACCTCAGTAAACTACCATTAATGCAAGCATTTTAGAGTAGGACAGAAACAGCAGGCAGGAAATCTGAGTTTTACATGAATTGTAGCATTCTGAGCCCGTCTTTTTTCTTACTATAACTCTAAATTTGTTCAATGAAGGCGATTAGCTAGAGCATTTGGCTAATCGGGGATTCAAGTGTGTAAGGCGCCCCCGCCAGGCTCCATTTCAGCAAGGCCGGAAGGAGCTGGGCGGGGCCTCAAGGCTCTAGACAACGGACTGGGGGAGGGGAACTCAGGCCCGACTGTCAGGGTGTAGACCCTCTTGCTAGCATCTGCGACCGCTCTGCGAAGTTCAGAGTCCCGACCTCCCGCAAAGGTAGGTGCCGCCCCTCTGGTCCAGGAAAAGGGTTGTCTTAGGTGGCATAAAAGGACGTAAGGTTACCGAGGCTCGCGCTTTAGGGCGTGGGAGAGTGGCAGCGCCAACCCCCTATCCCGGGGTGATTGTACTCACCTTACACTGGGGGAGGACACTCCTGCCTTGCCTCAAGGCTGTCGTCACGATTTGGGCTAGTTTTGCAGTCCTCCTGGAGATCAGCATGGGGCCAGTTGGGCCTAGTGCTGTGGAATAGCTGGAGCAAGCTGGGGTTGGGACGGACGCCCAACGTGCATTGTTTCAGTCTCGGCTGGATCTTCCAGCCCGGGATCTGTCACTCATTTGGTGTCTAAACTTAAGCGTGCCTCACTTTGCTCAGCCATTGAGTGGAAGGAACCCCTGCTTTTGCAAGAATTTGTAGCACTGCCTTCTTTCGCTCCCATAGCCACTAAGGTTCTCTGACCAGATTTTACCCTTTGTTTGCACTCTCAGAGCAAGGCTGCCTATGGAGTTGCAGAATAAGGCTTTGGGGAAGTTAAGCTAAGAACCTCCTGCTCTGCTCTGAAAACAACTCTGGAGAACCTTTTAATACTACTGGAAATGCTCAGTGCATTAATTAAATGTGAATTCTGAATAATGCTTTTGTGAATAGTTTATTAGTAAGGATTTTAACGAAACTACTGCCCAAATGTTGTGTATTGGATGAACCTACTACATTGCTAGCAAGTTTCATTCAAAGAAAGAGTTTGAGATTTTACTGTATAATCATTAAAAGAAGAAAAAAATGAGCTCTTATATTTGGAAACACTTCAATAATCCATTCTCAGCGGTCGTCTTTTATATTTGCTTTTTAGCCAGGTACTGTCGTGTCAGGATACACTATAGTAAAGCTTATAAGAAATTGATTTAACATTGTTTCTACTATAATGATACAAATATTTTGGCTATGGTTGCCATTCTCATCACCATTCCTTAATGGGGAAAAATTGGAGGTTGATGGTCACGCAGTGTCAATGGTGTTTCTGGCAGCTGTGCTTTATGCCTGTCAGACTTGGGGTTGGAGGACTAACCTCCTGGATTATTAAACCTCTTTGCTGTGAAGAATCTTTCCTTGGTGAATGGAGCCAAACTGAACACAGACCCACCAGTTGAGTACCACTGTGACCCTTTTTACAGCACCGGGAATTCTTCATGCTTACCCAAGTTGAACACAAACCAGCTATTGCCCCCATGTAAAGACTAACAACAATGAGAGAATATTGGGAAAACCCAACCTGTGCAGTACCTTCTGGGTCGACGAAAGGAGTGGTTGATAATGAAAGGGGTTCTTCTGGGTAAGGAAAGGAAATGATGATTTCTCAAATGGTCTCAGGGAAATTGTGCTGAATATCTGTTAAAGAGCGTTGAGGGTGACTTTAGATTTGGCTGTTTGGCAGAAACTAGTGGTGACTAGTTAGGCATATTTTTAATGCATTAATCTGTTTTTCTGTATTCATCTACTCTGTCCAGTAGTGAATTCCTGCTTTACACAAGGAAGCCAACCCATTCACTGACCTTGGGAGCATGGGAATGTAATATGGAAGGAAGATAGGGATTCAGCTTTTAAAACATGCACAGTTATGAGGCACCCTCACCCTTTCCACCACATGCATCTATACCCAGTATTGAGTCTTGTCACTTCCACGTTGTGAATATTTTTATGATCCATTTATTTCTTGCCTACCTTCTCCAAATTTCAAGTCAGCAATAGTCTTTTAAAAATGTAAACAAGTACATTATATCCATGTGTATGTGTCATAATGAAGCCCCTTTGTACAATTCAATTCCTTGAGTAGAAAACTATGCATTGACTTGCTTGTTCATATTATTATTATAACTTACTATAATATGTTATTATTTTGACTTTATGTTTAATATATTGCCAAACTTTTCTAAAGGGGATGACCCATTTTACATTCATTATACTTATATAATCTACCACCAATGTATGATAATTCTAATTTATTTTTATCCTCTTCAATACTATTATTTTTCCTTTTCAAAAATAATTACAGCTTTCCTTGTGGGTGTAAACTTGCACACAAACAAACCAGTAGACCAATGAAATAGAAAAGAAGATCCAGAAAGAAGCACCTAAATTTTTACAAAGCTGTCAAAAACATACACTGGGGGATTAAAATGTATTGTATGAAATGCACAAAAATTCAATAAAAATATATATTGTTAAAAAAATGACTTTGAGATTCCATCTCACCATTATCAGAATGGCTATCATCAAGAAAACAAGCAGCAATAAATGGGAAGGAGGCATTAATATGGCTCATTAGGTAAAAGCATTTGCCGAGAAAGGCTAATAACCTGAGTTCAATCCCTGGAATCATGTAAGGATGGAAGGAAAAGTTTTCCTTCATCCTCTGACCTCCACATGCATTCTGAGATACACGTGCCACTCCCCCCCATTACACACACACATTTTTTTTTAAAATTTCTTAAAAGACTGTGGGGGAGACAGAAACTCTTGTATACTACTAATGGGAATGTACACTGGTATGGCCACTTTGGAAGTCAGCTTGGAGATTCCTCCAAAACTTAAAAATAGAACTTCCATGTATCTTGGTTATAATGTTCTTGGATATCCAAAGGACTCTAAATCATACCACAGAGATACTTGAACATTCATGTTTATTTCTACACTGTTCATAAGAGCTAGGAAACTGAGTAAGTCTTGATTTCCAGTAGCACATGGATGGATAAAGAAAATGTGGTAGATGTACACAATGGAATTTTATTTAGCTATATAAAAAAGAAATGATAGCATTTGCAGGAAAATGGATGCAACTGGCAATTATGATGTTAACCAAAAGAGGCCAGTCTCAGAAAGACAGACAGACATCATGTTTTGTGTCATATGTAGACCCTAGATTTAAATTTTTGTATGTGTGTACATGCAAGCTTGTGTGTGTGTGTGTGTGTGTGTGTGTAAGTCATGAAACT